CAATACCTAGGCTCTCATACCAGCGCGGGTTTGGATACCCTCAACATATTCCGTGAGCCGGTCAGTGTCAAAGTGAATGAGGAGGGATATGTGGAACTGGTGTTCGAAAACGACACAGCTGGCAAGTTGGGGAGGAATGCGCCTGTAGCGGTCAACAAAGCTTATTGATTCTGAGGTGCCTCAGTCGCAGATCTTGTAGCGATGATGCTATACTACACCAGAATTTGAAGGGAGGTAAGGAGGAGTCCCCAATACCAATTGAGGTGAATCGTTACCTCTTCATAAGGAGGCTTCCTCTGATGCCTCTCTACCTTTGTCGGCCATGTCCCACTGTGTTCTCCAACATACCACGACCAGCACCACAAACGATCGCTGCCGACGTAAATGCCCAGCATAACGGACAACTTGAGACACGATGACAAAAGGTCGGAGGGAGGTGCTCGTTTGCTTGATGGTTTCGTCCAGAAGGAAGTCACTCTGACCTATTCAGACTCACCGTGCAAGAAGGGGCCAGCCAGCATATCCGTTCCTATGGACCTTCCTTCCGACCCTCGCGGGCAGGCGCAGTGGCAGGCAACTTCTATCACCTCATTCTGCTACTATTCGTACTTCGACGTCCATTCCTACACCAACACATCTCAGTATACCTCTTTTTATTCTTATTCAACATGCGTGCTCCAGAGATTGCAGGGTTTTATGTGGAGTGGTCCGACGAATTCTACGGCACAGCTGGCACGCCTCCCAGCTCACAATGCTGGAGCCTACAAACTCCCTCGATCAACTACAACAACGAGTTGCAGAGCTACACCAATTCGACCAACAATGCCTACCTCGACGGAAATGGTCAACTCTGTATTGTTCCTCAAAAGGTGAACGGACAATGGACCTCTGCTCGTCTATATGGCAACCCCAGCTTTCAATGTGACAATAACCGCAAGATGATCTTCGCCGCCCACATCAAGCTTGGCCAGAACCCGCCGTGGCAGCAGCAAGGGATTTGGCCTGCTTGGTGGGCACTGGGCCAGTCGATACTTGAGGATGGAGAATGGTGAGCTCCAAATTCGCCTTATTCTGCTGTGCTGTTACAGAAGTCTCTTACACTGCATACTGCTTCAGGCCGAAATGTGGTGAATGGGATATCTTGGAGCTCTGCAACGGCAGCTATACGAACCAATGTGAGTCGTGATGGATTCTGTCCAAGCCAGGTGTTTTGGGCCTGCTAGAACACTCACTGACCATTGGGAAACATCAGCTTCAATCCACCAACTTGACGAAGCAGGAAATCACACCGTAAGCCATGGAACTATCAACTTCGATCGCCGAGATTATCACACCTTTGCCGTCCTCATCGATCTCAGCTCGGATGACTATAGCCAACAGTGCATCAAGTTTCAGCTTGATGGCCAGACCTACTTTACTGTTCAAGGGGATGCGTCGAGTGAGGCAGCCAGCCAATGTTGGGATAGATGCGCGCGAAGCCCGTTCTTTCCCATCCTCAACATCGCTGTGGGGGGTGATCTTCCAGGATATCCCAACGATGATACACTTCCTGGTGTGGATAGCGGCATGACGATTCAGTGGCTGGCTGTGTACAAATCATGGTATTGAACCACGATGCTGGCTCATACCTTGTCCGATGGAGTGGAATTTCCAACCAAAGCATCAAGGGTCACCAGGAGCATTAGGCAAGGCTACGTCTGGTCGTGTTGGTAGAGTTCCTGCAGTTGGAGGTCCTTGTGAGGTAGAGCTTTACACGTCAGAATATCAGATGTCAACCTTTGCAGAGATTGTGATGTGCTTCATCGTATGTCAAGTGCACATTAACGGAACCATGAACCCTTTGCTATCACTGTACATTAGTTTACAAAGTGAGGATACGAGAACATGGATGGGTGAGAGGTAGCTAGGTCCATGGTCCACGAGACATGAGACATGGTAGATCTCCGCCATATCCACCAACGTAGATACCTGTGAGTACCGGGTAGGTATCCCAATATCTCAGGATGATAGAGCCGTCAAGATAGGTTAGCCCATGTCAAAGCAAGGCCAAATGAAGGTCAAGTCGGAGGCACTCGAACAATAAATAATGGTATGGTAGACCCCGTTACTTGGTCCTTGGTCCTTGGTACTCGTGCCCGTACTCGTATGTAGATAGATGGATGTATTACGGTGTTCGGTATGGAGTGGCTGGCTGCTCGGTATCTACATACTCAGGGCGTACGGACGCACTGGAGGTTAGGGTGAGATATAATGAGTACCTCGTCCGTACCTACCTGGACCAAGATACATGGTTGGGATTATCATTACATACGAGTGATACATAGTGAGACACTGTCGGGATCAGAGGATCGAATTACAACGAGTGTCTCACTCAATTGACAAAGCGCCGAGCCAGACAAGGTTCTTCTTCACATCTTCCCTCTTCTCTGCCCTTTCCTACTTACTCTCAAGAAACCCTTCCCGTGCCATGGCTGCCGCAGAGAAGACCGTGCGTTGTCCGCCGGGAGAGCTCGAGCTATTCTTTCTCTCTCGCTCAAAATCCAATCCAAGGCGAAATATATTATTAGTGGTTCTTGTAAAAAGCAAAAAGTCATAAGGACTGCGTAACTGGCGTGACAGGGCCAGAAATCTGCTGGTCCTTGTGGTGCCAATTGGCTCAAAAGTCGCCTGCCGCCCACACTATCTGCAACAAAACATTTGCCCTGCAAGAACTTTGCATGCTAACGACGATCATGAGTGGATGAGGACGGCATTATTTTTCCGGTCCTCTTTTTTTTGGTCTCCATCAGGCTAAGAAGAACCTGGTAGTGCTAACCCAATATACAGCGTTTAGTCCAAGACGGCGGCGCCGCTGTACTTCTCGATAGTGGCTTTTTGGCCGGTAGGGTTACCCTTGATTGAAAGGTTAGGTCGGTCTTGTACTGTAACTTTCCTGTGGTTTGTACTTTATCATGTCCGGGCGGGCGGGCAGTAAGTAAAGTTGGACGTGCAGAAAAAGCACCTAGTCGTTTTAGAGGGAGGTGATAAAGAATAATATACCTCGCATCGCATCGCATGGACCGCGCATTGCATGGTGCATTATTCACCTCGAGGCTCTTCCTTTCAATACACTGGGTTATTGGATAGAGAAAAGGCGGTCAAGGGCAGGGCAAGGCAAGAATCCAGCTCGAGCTCCAGTTTCAGCTTCCTCTTGACGCTCGAGTGAGGCAGGGATCAGTTCGCTTGCAAATCAGTATTGGAGGGGTGAAAGTTGCTCGCTTGGCATGTGTGGGAAAGAAGAGGGGAGCTGAGCGGGCCCGGCACGCGCAGGAGAAGAGTCAGAGGATCGACCTAGGTATGAGTGCTGGAAGGAGACAACGAGTTAGTTCCATCTGAGGGTCAAGTGAGGGTGTCGGAGCCTTTCCTCGTACCTAAGCATTATTGAACCAAGGTGCAATTGCTCCGTTCCCACAGCGGCTAGAAGTGGTCGGTAGGTACGAGGTACTTGGGTAAGTAAGGTCTGTGGGGTCTGTGGGTAGGTGGGCAGGTGGGAAGGTAGGTGTGGGTGCGGTGCCATGGTGCGGTTGGGTTCATGAACAAACATTGAACGCATGCATGCATGCACCCCACGTCTACGTCTTGCCCACCACTCACCACCCACCCACGTGCGTCACTCTTTTTTAAGCATTGGAATATCGTTCGATGAGCTTGATACGAGTAGGTACATGTGAGCTGAAGCTTGGAGTCGGACATTTTTCGTTTCCACATTGTGTGCTGAGCACGGAGAATTATACGCGAGAACGCATTTAATGGAGAAAGCGGAGTGAATTAAAAGGCGATCGATTGATCAAGCAAGCTGAAAGGTAGATGGGACGGTGCTTACCATCGTAGAGAGAATACGAGTAGGCATCTCGTCATCTCATCTCCCGGTGGTGCGTGCTCGGTACGAAATAACCTTGTACTCAGAACCAGTCTCTACTCAGTACAGAGCACGCGGAGAGAGAAGCGGAGATCAGCTGCTATCATATCCGCGCCTTCCACTACTTACGAGTAGGTACAGATGTAGCACGCCAGAAGTAGTTTGGGCAGGGGAGCAACGAAGAACCAGGCCTCTGCCTTGATCTGCTCCCTGTGAGCTTCTACTAGGCTAGCCCTGGGAGCCCTGGCTCTTCACTCGTAGGTGCCCCTAACCCTGGGTGCCTGGGCGCTTGGGTACCAGGGCAACTGAGCAACAGAGCACCCCGACGGGGATCTGGACTCTGGACTCTGGAGACGCGTGAAGTACCCATGTATGCCTAGCGATGCCTACGGTGCCTAACGTTAGTGGTACAAAGATGCTAGCGGGGCGTAGCTAGTGATGTTGCGTGTTTGCGGGTGTTGTCGTCATCCCTTCCAGGGCACCCAGCACCAGGCACCAAGGGTGAGACAGCTTGACAGGTTCGCTTATTAGTGCACGGCAACAGCTGCATTGCATTGCTTATCAACTTAGCCCTCACCACCTGCAGAAGTCCATCTTCACAAACCTGTTCTTGTGCCTCCAACATGGCCATCGAGGAAGCATTTCACGGCCCTAGCTTCGTGATCCTGGCTTCGGCAAAACCGCAACAATGACAATGAGATATGAATTTCAACTGATACAACCACTCGTTTATTGGTACATTCTCACCGTTACTGGTGAGATCTGTTCTCATTGTAGGGGAATGGCTCAAGCAGAGCCGCCTCAATCACCCAGAACATCTTGTCCCCCGCGTCGTGCTGCTCTCATTGACTCGCGGCAGACGGCCATTAGCTAGTCCAAGCTCTCTCATTATCGTTAAAGCCGTAGTACGGCCTCATGGCCATGGCTTTCTCCATATCCTCGTCGTAACTGGCATGCTTCATCGTCACCAACTGCCAATCTGATCCCCTTCGTATGTGTGCGCCCAAAAGTGAACTCCCAAGAATGCTTGCCACAGCTAGAAAGTAAAATGAGTCCAGCCCAAGTAGAAGATGCGTGATAAAAGTAACAAGACCACCGTACATCAGTCGTCGATATCTGGATTCGCCACAAACAGCCTTACTCCAGGCTGACCCATGCTCATCGTCCGCTCGTCCACGCTCCCTCTTCTGCGCAGATCCTCGGCTTTCTTCGCTTGCTCCAGTGCCCGTTGCACAGCGCTGGGACCAGAAATCTCCTTCAGCTCGCCGAATGAGTCCTCACTCTCCCTACCAGGGGTAGACTTGTCGCTGTGGACGAAGTAGTCGTGCTTCGCATCTTCGGCGTTTTCCGCGTCTTCTGGGATACCTTGCCCTGGTGACCCTTCGCTAGGTGGTGTGCTTGTGCTGCTAAATCGTCCTTGATCTGGACGTGGATACCCGCTCCGGTATTTGGCGCTGTTGGTGCTGCTTCTCCCACTGCCAGTCCGGGCATGTACCATACTATTGTCGCCAGTGAAGCTTCGTCCTTCCTCTTCTTCATCGCCCAGTGCTTCATTGGCACTTAGTCGTACAGGCACAGACGCGCCGGTTAGGTTCGCCGGGACATACCCGGGTGCTTTCGGGACACCGCCGTGTCTGATCTTGCCAACCACGCCACCTGACGAGATGGTGCTTGTCCGTCCGCCATGACCAACACTCTGAACCTCAAGGGCCGCGCGGTGTTTGGCTGCTTTCTGGGCAGCGGCAAGCCGGGGGTCGATGTTTTGAGCTCGATCGCACCAAACGGTTGCCTTTTGTTTTCGCATCAGTGCTACGTACGATGTAGGGCTATTCGTGGCTGTCGAGCGGCCAGACGTAGAACGACGTGGGATGCTGGCGGCCGAAGAGGTTGTGCCCTGTCTGTGCATGCTCATCGTGGCATTCGAAGTGGAGGAATGACGCGAATGTGAGGAGGTGGAGGGAATTCGAGAATGGCCTGTGCCAGACGGCACAGTGACAATGGTCACAAAAGAGTTGGAGGGTGGCAGGGTGTTTGAAGAGACAGTCCGTGAGTGATGGTGGTTGCTGATCGTTCGCGCCGGCGCTATGGGAGAGGCGGTGGTCGCAATGTAGGATTTTCGCTCGGGGCGAGTAAAGGCGCCGTCAGCCACCGAGGGCGCAGGATGAGGCGGCAAAGAGGAAATAGGGGCGGGAGAATGTGAGTAAGGGTAGGAGAGTGTGGGATCTGGGATATTTGTCCCAGCTACTGTCAAGACGCTCATCGGTCTTCTCAGATACTGACAAGGCTCAGAGAGCAGAAGGTAGGATGGAGAATTGCGGATTGAGGTTGAAGGTTTGTAGGTCGGGCGCCTTTGGTGCAGTCCAAGCACTGGTTTAGTGGTGGAGACTTCGGCTGGCCCCAAGTTTGGTTTTTTTAGGTAGGAAGGAGTTTCTGCAGCTCTGGTTATTGGCCGGCACAACCAGATCCGACGACACAGTGAGCTGGTAAAGGAATGGATTTGTAACCGCTTCAGCCCCAACTCGACAGGAGCAAAGCAGCGGTAGTGACAGTGGTAGTGATGGCAGTTCGTTAGGTGAGAGCCGAAGTGAGGTGTGAAGGCAAAACTACGGGTTCGAGGATGTGATGAAGGAGGGAAAAAGGGAGCACAGGAGGGCAACGTAGAAATTTGAATCAAGTCTGAGTAGCCGATGCCTTTTGTAAAACGTGTCGCGCGCCCTTGCCTCGTATCGCTAAACCCCCTCGTCGTCTCTGGGCGGAGAAGAACTAGACAGTGAATGCTATAATTGAGTCCCGAGGATTGTACAGTCGCAGCTGCGGACCAATGAAGCCGGTGGACAGGAACGTCGACGGAGGCGGGCGTGAGAGAGTTCGTAGGGCAACAAGTCCGCGTGCGAATCAAGTCGATGTTTGTTAACGGAGTTTATACTGATGGAGGGCAGCAGCCTTGCAGCGAGACACGATTGATTCGAAGGACTCTTGCAGATGGTGGGTGAGGGTGTGTACAAGTATGTGTGTAGGGAGAAGGCCCAGGGTTGGCAAACGGACAACTTTATTTTGCATCAATCGAATGATGAATGATGTTGACGACGACCATGATGCTTTGGGATGTATCCAGGATTTGCATGCCCGTCACTAGCTGGGAACTGGCACCGCTGGTACAAGTAGTCGCTGTGCCTAGTTTATCTATACCAGGATACCAGGGGGGGACACATGGACGGGATCCCAGGAAACCAGCGGGATCATACCATAACTACCACCTACCAAATGAGACCCAAGGACCTCAGTTGAGCGAAACCTCGTCGGAATGCCGCTGTTCATTTGTCCCGATCCGCGATGATGCCGTAGCCTGTAGGAAGAAGGAGGGGAAGAGAGGAGGGGGCCAAAGGGGCGAGGGGCACCCCTGGAAAGGCTGCAAGAGGGCACCTAAGCCTTGAGGTAGGCCCACGTCCTGGACCTGTACGCGCCCAGAAACAGCCCATGACCCGTAAATTATTCGCTTGATGATTACATGCCTACCTAGCTGGGTAATCTTGTGGCCTGTCTGGGATTTGTGATTAGGTGGGGTTATAACTAAGACCAACATTTAACCCCCCAAGACTCACCTAAAACTCAGCTGAAGGCTTTCCGCCCGCCGCCCGAGCCACTCGGTGTCACCTCTGTAACCTCGCTCGGCGTGCCTTTTCACCCCGAAACTTGCCTACTTAGAGGATCCATTGGGCTGACCTTATGTAGGATGGTGAGGCCCAGACGTCATGGCCACTCATGCCACTTTCAACTGAAACTTAGGCTCGCATTACTTGATCTGGATGGGCTGTTACTATTTCTTCAAACAATCAAGCTCACACCAGTGTCAAACTGCAATACTACCAGACGTTTTTTTCTTTCCTTTTGTCATGGGAATTACTATAGTTGCACACTTGTACTCTAGCCAACGTGAAAATATTTTCACTCGCCCTCATCTAATCGTCGCTCCTATCGCATGGCATCCCGTATCTCGATCATGGCTGGGATCTTGCTCCGGAATAAAGTGAGACGGCAGGACAGATGGATCAGTGACTCCATTTGGGTGCTATTGAGTTGCGATGCGATGACAAACCCACCCTCGACTTGCCAAGTCCCATATCATTCTTCTCTTCTCGCCGGAGAAAACGAAGACAAGTCGGTTGCATGATCCACGTTGCGATCTACTAGTACCAGGAAAAGAGCAAGCTACGAGGACAAGGATCGAGATCACCTTGGATGATCAAAATCTGGCGTCAAAACCGTGTTGGGGTGGCTGTTGGCAGTCTCCCAGTGGCATCTTTGTCCTTCTGTTGGCCTCTGTCGTAGCCTTACCTAGTCCTACCCATACGTCAGGGCTGTTTCAAGTTTGGTTGTACGGGGTACTGATGCATTCAACAAAGTATCCTTCCAAACGCCCCTTTCTGTCCACAGTAATCCCACAGTCGATTCCACTGAGGGATGCAACCTACTCGGTACAAAGCTACCCCGTGTTGCCTTAGGAGAAAACGTCATGCCACCTGCGACTTGGAAGATTCTCGCTTGAGTACAGACAAAATTTCCCTGCGTTTTGATAAGCGCTACTTGTCCTTGTTCCTCGTTCCTGATCGACCGGATCAACGTCGTGTTCCTTCTCCAATGAACCTCAATGACTGACCTGGCTATAAGATCAAAGTTCACCTTCACAAGGCAGAGTGTTCGGATTAAAAGGAAACGGCAGATCAGGAAATATTGTCCTGATCGACGAAAGAATTCCCCTTGGGACCGTTGGCGTTCAGTCTTTGTCTTTGATGATATCACTCACGGAAATAGATCTCGTCGTTGATTGACTCCAACTGAACCTCACTCCGGTCTCCTTTGAGACCTGAAATAGGTCCTGTGACATCTACACAAAATACAGTCTCATGACATTGCCGATTCCCAGCCTCGCTCAGAAGCAAAACGTTGTAATGGGACAGTGAAGTCCTGGCTGGTTTGTCTTTCTTCCCTTTCTCGCGATTGTCAAGGAATGGAACAATCCATGCCTTGTCTACTATCCAGTATTTCTCCTGGTTAAGGAGAAGCGAACAGGTAAGGTCTCCTTCGCCAATTACTCCCGAGCAAGTTGGGTTTTGGTACAATTGGCTATCATCCCCCTTCTTCTTGCTCGAGCATACATAGCAGGAAACATCAAAGCATATCAACCACACACAATTGGAGAATCTCCAAAGTGGTCAAACTGCAGATGTCGCCCTCTGGGGAGTCACTGGGAGTCAATTTGCGTGTCTGAGACAAGGTGTCAGCAGAGTCTCTGGCGGTCACCCCTTTTTCCGATCACCCGATCCTTCCACTACCGCAGCGTTGAGTGCAGAAGCAAAATTGTACTGCCTCCCAAAAGAAATGTTGTTCAGTATAATACTACTTTGCCCTCGCAAGGGGGAATCTCAAATGGTATGCAGAATGTATCAGTCCAGCTGAGTCGAAAGCCATGTATCTGAAACCAGCACTGGTCGAAATGAGCCCAAGCAAAGCAGCCCAAGCAGCCCAAACTTTGGTTCTTTCACCCAGCTGAACCGCCAATACCATCCCACAGTGGCGAGTAACTCGGGGTCGGAGATCGGTACCTGGAACAGACGCACCCGTGTTTCTAGAGCGAAAGCTCGAAAGGTGAGTGGGTAGAACGAGACAGGATTCAGAGGCAGCATGCAATGCCAGCGCATCATCCGTGGCCGTGGAGCATTGCAGGGGGGCTGCATCCAAGTGGCTCGGTCGGTGAGCCTGCAAAGCGACACATGGCGGAAGGATCTTCGGGTTCAAAGATCGTTTAGCCCCTTAGCAGCTCGTTTGCGGTCCAGTCATCGTTATCCCAAGGTTTGACGTGGCCGTTTCTGCGAGGCCGGTGGAAGGACAAACGAAAAACGGCCATGTTCTGCAGCATGTTTGCAGTACCACTGAAGGTGCATCGAAAAGTACCCATCGCGTAGTGATGGACCGCCGGACTTCGATTTTTGATGGGAAAAATTGCCAGGGTCCTTTTATCTTTCAAGTGGCCAACACCGTACAAATATCGGTGTACTACTGTCGCGTCGTCCATGCGCGTCTATCAACTGGGGGCACATTGGCCGCCTTTTCAGCCACTTCATTAGGTACCGCGCAGAGGCTGAGGCGGTGGATCACAGGAGAATGTACTCAATAGTCGTATCGCCTCCCATCTCTTGTTCTCGCCACACCCCTCGCTCATGGCTGTTGCGCGTTTTGCCACATCGTTGGCGAACCGGGGGAGATCCGCGGCTCAGAAAGTCTCCTTTGCGCGACCGCCGGTTTGTCGAGGTGGTCTTTAGTACCATCGGCCCGGAGCGCATCTCTGACCTTTAGAAGAAGCATATTGAGGAGCGACGAGTGGTTCGAGAGGACACTGAGCATATGTCAAGCAGCCTGGTTAGTTTGGGCTAATGCAGCTGGATATGCATTCGTTGGCAACGTCGTCAGGGCCTGCAAGTCATCCCTCATGTTGCAGTGTTGCGCTGTACTCTGAGAAATTGTGTGCGTTGTTCTTCTGGTCCCCTCTAGTTGTAGTCGTTGGTAGCCGATCAAAAAGACCCCCAAAAGTCTTTCCTGATGGATTGATGCGCCATAATGAAAAAAATGTCCTGTGGCTTTCACGGCCTTTTTCGTGGATCTCTGCGTCCAGACCTCGTGTTGCAGGTGATTTGAAACCGCTGGGAATCCCAAAGGTGCCTGTATTGGCGAAGTTGGGTACTTTACTTGCAAGCGAGCGACCGAAAAACCTCCCCCGCATTATTGCCCTGCAGTGACTATTGAACTTGGGAATCTTGGTCACTCTACGGTACGTTGTACTTTGCACCCTTGCATTGGGTTATCGAACCGCGCCTCTCCGCCATTCAAGCCACGAACAAGCACCACAAGAGAACCAACCTGAGACGAGGTGGAGGAGGAACAAGCAAAAGAGGAGGAGACATTTCTCCCCGTAGTTCGGACAATCAATCCTCTGTGCGGCGACGCCTGACCGCTGAATCAAATCACATCACATCACACGCTGCGACTGCGAGTCACAAGTCGATCCTCGACTCAACACTCTGACCAAAGACGGAATCCCGCTTGCACTCACTCCCACGCCTCACCTCGCCCTGTTTCGCGAACATCCCTCATTTTGCCCTCTACGCCGCCTTTCGCCGTAGCCCCAGCATTCGCTGTTCCTGCTGCTGTCGGCCTGCGCCCTCCGCTGTAATGGAATTGGCCAGCGTATGACAGAACTACCTG